AAAAAAAAAAAAAAAAAAAAAAAAAAAAAAAAAAAAGAAGTACCAAGAAACTGTGGTACATTTATACAATGGAGTATTACTCCACTATAAAGAATGAAATTGTACCATTTGCAATGATATGGATGGACCTAGAGACTATTATGTTAAGTGAAATAAGTCAGTTGGAGAAAGACAAATACCATATGATCTGACTTACATGTGGAATCTAAAAAACTGAATGAACGAGCAAAGTAAACAGAAATAGTCAGACATATAGAGGAAAAATTGATGGTTGCTAGTTGGGAGGAGGGTGGAGATGAGGGAGAAGAGGAAGGGATTAGACAGCATCAGTAGGTAACTCCAATATTGCCACAGGGATATGAAAGACAGTTCAGGGAATACAATTAACAAAGTTGTAAATATTTTGTAGGGTGTCAGATGGTCACATGTCTTGTTAGGGAGACCACTTCTTGAAAGGGGTAGAGGCTTGATCACTGCACTGTACACCTGAAGCTGATGTTGTATAATAATGTCTGTCAACTATAACTGAATATATATATAGTCACGGGATGTGGAGTATAGTGTGGGAGTGGAGTCAATGGAATTGTAATAGATACACGATATTGTGGGGGGAGTGCGGTGGCGGATTGGTGGAGGGGGGGTGTCACTTTGAGGGGTAAAATGTATAACTATTGCACTGTGTTGTACACCTGAAACTAATAATAAAAAGAAACTTGTGATATGCTTTAGAGAATCGGGGGTCTCATATTCTTACCCTGACATGACTACTTTAGTTCTATTTGATTCGGGCCAATTTATATTCCCATGCTATTTTTTTAAAGAGTTAATTGGGGAATTCGGGGAGGGAAACAGTGTTGGGGAATCGGGAACAGACAAGTTGCTGTCCTTTTTTGTTCTTCAGTCTAGTTGTGGAGGACGTTGCTTCACTGGCCTATTTGGTATTCTCATCACTCTCTTCCCGGGTGAGGCAGATTGGTTGCTGGCCACTGGACGGCCGCTCACGTCGGCTGCCAGCCACTCATGGTAGCTTATGGCAGCCCACTGCAGCTTCACGCAGCCCACGCCATTGTAGGCAACTCACGGCAGCCCAGCTCCAGGTCGAGCTGTTGTTCACCACCTTAGCTGTAGAGGGTGCAGTGTCACTGGCCCTCATGTGGGATCCAAGCTGGGGCCCTGCTGCTCAGAGCTGGCATCCCAAGCCAACTCTTAACCAACGTGTCACTCGGCCGGCCCTCCCATGTTATTTCTTTATCAACAATATACCTCTTATTTCTAGAACTAAGTAACCAGCATCTCTTAGGAGTACTACAACATACTTCAAATGTTAAATTATGAAATACCATGACTGTAAAATGGCCTTAGCTGACCTGGTATCCCAATTTTTCATTGTAACACTATTATCTACCAGGAGAGTTTGAAAAGATAGTGTGAAATAAGCTGAACTCCATCCAAGAAGACTCAAGAGTGAATTTTTAGTTTTTAAAACTCAAAAAGAGAGAATGTATTTAAAGGGCTGATAACATGGGCCGGCCGAGTGGTGCGATGGTTAAGAACTGGCTTGGGACTCCAGAGGGCCCCGGTTCGGATCCCACATATGAGGGCCACTGCCCTCTACAGCTAAGATGCTGAACAACAGCTCAACCTGGAGCTGGGCTGCCGTGAGTCGCCCGCGACGGCGTAGGCTGCAGCCCCTGTGGCAGTGGGTTGTCATGGGCTACCGTGTGTAGCCAGCAGCCAGCGTGAGCGGCCAGCAGCCAGCGTGAGCGGCCAGCAGCCGCAGTGAGCGGCCATCCAGAAGCCGGCGACTGATGTGCCTCGCCTGGGAAGAGCACAATGATGGTGCCAACTTGGGCCAGTGAAGCAACGTCCTCCACAACTAGACTGAAGAACAAAACGACAGCAACGTGTCTGTTCCCCTTCCCCCAATTCCCCAGCACTGTTCCCATCCTTCCAATTCCCCAATAAAAATCTTAAAAATAATAATAAAAAAATTAAAAAATGAAGGGCTGATAACAGAGGCTGGCACCAAGTAGGTGCTTAATCAATGTTAAAGAGGCAGTACAATGCAGAGGAAAGGGCCTGCATAAGGTTTTAATCACGCCTGGATTCCAATATTGGCACCACTTAATATGTCATCTTGGGTACATCCTGACAACTATGAGCTTGTTCATCTTTCACATATGGGGAAGGTAATCCCTTACTGGCAGCTGTATTGAGGGTTAAAGGAGGCAACAAGTTTCCAGGGTTTGGTGGTTTGGGCTCCAGCAGTACATAAATTCTCTCCCTTGGATGCCCCAGAACACAGGAGTGGTCTGCATTTCCCTGCCAATCAGCCTGCAGCTAAGGGCTTCCCTTGGTTCTGCTCTTAAGATTTAAATAGGTAAATCGGGGGGGGGGCATAAGAGGCAAGGCTAAGTTGTGGCTCTGGGTCCAAAGATGATGTGGAAGTTTGGAGTAAGGGGTGCAGATTGAAGCAATCTAGTGCCCACTTCCTTCAAATGCGTCCAGTCTCAGGTAGATTGCTGGGAGCTGAGGTAATGTGATTAACCCAAACAAACCTGGGTAAAGTAAGATTCTGTTTCTGCTATTATCCACCTGTCCCTGAGAGTCCCTGACACTGCTTGAGTTTGTCTGTTTGTCTGCTGGGGTAGGCTTCCCCAGAGGAGGTGGCTAATTGTATTTTAATGGCGTATGACTTTCTAAAAGCGGAAAAGGAGTTGGATGGCGCACCCCCAATATACGAGGCATGATCAAAATATAGTGTTTACATTTTTAAAAAGTTATTACAATAAAAGACAGATTGCCATTAATCCCCCTCAAAATACTCCCACTCGCTTCAAACAACATGTATCCCATCGTTCTTGCCACTTTCTGAAGCAGTTCTGGAAGGCCTCTTTCATGAGTGTCTTTAGTTGCACTGTTGTGGCTGCCTCGATGTCCTGAATCATTTTGACTTTGGGGAAGAGCCAGAAGTCACATGGTGCCAGATCCGGTGAATAAGGTGGATGAGGACACACTGTAATGTTTTTGACAGAAATTGCCATATACCAGGAGTGATGTGTGACACAGAGCATTTTCATGATGATTTATGGCACATTTTAAAAAACACCTCTCAATTGTAGCTCACCCAACAAGTTGAAACCTGTCACACACTGTTACTAAGATTCGATGCGCTGCTTCCCGTACTGAAGATCCCTTTCTGTTGGATGGCCCTCGGCAGCAGCCTTCACCATGTTTTGATCACAATGGTAAGGCTCCGTGTCACACATTGCTTCTGGTACAGCAATTTCTGTCAAATAAAAACATTACGGTGTGTCCTCATCCACCTTATTCACCGGATCTGGCACCGTGCAACTTCTGGCTCTTCTCCAAAGTCAAAATGACCATGAAAGGTAAATGTTTTGAATTGATTCAGGACATCAAGGCAGCCAGCCATGACAACCCAACTAAAGACACTCAGGAAAGAGGACTTTCAGAACTGCTTCAGAAAGTGGCAAGAACGATGGGATAAGTGTGTTTGAAGAGTGGGAGTATTTTGAGGGGGATTAATGGTAATGTATTTTACTGTAATATATATTTGTTTAATTTAAACATTCCCCGTATTGATCATACCTCATAGCAGCTCTCTGAAGGATGCAGCCTATGAATAATTGGTACCAGAACCCTTTTGAATCATAGAATTCAAATGCTGGTGCTGGATGAGATGTGGTCACACAAGGGCAGGGCCCAGAGTGTTTCAGTTCAAGGCATTCCTCAAACTCAGTCTGCCCAAAAATGCCCCAAGGTGGGCCTTGCCCCTAACACACCTAGCCACTCTACCAACAGGTGACTTGTTTTCCCTTAATGCAAACAAGATGGTGCTTAACACACTTCAGCACCATCCAGACTTGTGTGTTCTCCTTTTCCTTCTATCCTATCCCCACGCCCTCCCAGAGACACAGAAGGCTCATCGCTGTTCCTCCAACTCCCAATGCCATGCAGGTGAGGATTTGTGGACTTGGGTGGAAGATGTGTGGTATTGTGGGAATGTCATACCACTGAGATCTGTTGTGGATTGGTAAAGAAATCATCACCTTCTCAGGGACCCCCAGGTCTCCCAGCTGTCTAGCCTCCAGTTGCATGTTTAGAGGATTTTGTAAAGGGTCAGCACCCTGACCAGCCCAACCTACAGGGTGGCAGATAAACTGTTAGCATCAGGGATCTGTTGATAATTTATTTTATTTCTCTTGTAAACAGAGTAGGAGCTAAATAAAGGGCATTGGGTTGGCAGTTCCAGCTGCTTGGGACTCTTTCTCTGGAGAATGGAGGAAAGAGTGGTGGTGGGAGGTATGGTGGAGGGGTTCTTTTAATATGCAAGTGCTTCAGGGAGAAGCAAACCATTTCACTTCATCTGTATTCCCCCATCCCACTGGAACTGTTGCTTGAGAGGAGGGAAGGAAGGGGTGAGATCAGTTGATCAGTCGATCAGTCACTAGCACTATCATCAGCATTGCCAGACAGGTCAAGGGCAGACATCATGGAATCAGACAGCTTAGTGGCGAGTTTATCTGCAGATAGAGAAATATAGGCAGTCACTTGGTTGCTGGCTTGCCAACAGGAGGCCTGCAGAATCTGGCCTACATCTACCTTTGTCTGCACCAAACTCCCAAACTGGCTCACTTACCCGCCCCCAACACTAAACATCTAGTGGGCTCCTGGAAGCCACTGCTCAACCTCACGTGCAGACCCATTTGTCTACCTGTGAAATCATCACCCCAACACAGCTTCTATCTCAGAATGTTAGACTCGCTGGGCTCCAAATATTTTTACCCGTTCCTGGTATCAAACCATTTTCTTGTACTGTGTTGAACTTACTAGCACTCTGCTATTACCCTCCAAGCTCTCACACCAAAGGGACAGCATAGTAGTAGACTTTGAGCCTGAATGCTTATGTCCCATCCTCCAGCCACACCCTATTGTTCCTCAGGATTCCCCTCAAACATCACCTCCTCCAGGAAGCCTTCACTGATCACCCCTACCCCACTATCATCTCCAGGCTGGGTTAGGTTCCCTCAGTGTGCTTTGTGTGTCTTCACAGTGATCACTCTGTGTTGCCAATGTCTGTTTTCTTGTTTCCTCCCCACTCCCCAATAAGACCAGGAGTTCCAGGGCAAGTCATCTTTGGAGTCCCAGACCTCAGGGTGGAACCAGGCCAAGAGTAAATGGTTATAAATACAGCCTAGTTCAAAGAACAGAGCTTATGGGGTCAATCAACCCTAGGTTTTCATTTTAGCTTCATCAAATAATAGTTATCTTACCTTGAATGTGTCACTTAATGACTCTGGGCCTCAGTTTCCTCACTTACCAAATGAGGATAGGACTTTTGCAATGTGTTAGTGAAGATTAGTATAGCATGAAGACCTAAATGGGCCAGCCACACAACAGACCGCCATTAAAACGGAGGAAGTTCTTTTGTGAATCAACATGGAACTATCTCTAATATATACTGATTGGAAAAATGATGTGGCAAAACTATATGTTCAGCAGACCAGCATTTGTATAAAAGAGAACAAAGAATATACGGATGTTTGCCTGCATCCCTATCTCAGACATGAGATACAAAAAATTAACTGGTTGCCTCTCGGGGGAGGCCTGGATGACTGGGAGATTAGAAGGCGACATTCTACTGTATATCCCTTTGTACCTTTTGGATTTCTGAGTATACTGCCCATTGATAAAGTAAACGTAGATAGCCTGTAAGCTTCCTAATATATAGAAAGCAGCTCATGAATAAATGGTGGCTATATGATACATAGATTACGCCAGTGGTTCTTCCAGTGTGGTCCCCAGAGGAGTAACATCAGCATCAGCTGGGACGCAGTTAGAATCACAAATTCTGTCTCCATGACCAACCCACTCAATTAGAAACTCTGGAGGTGGGTCCCAGATATCTGTGTTTTAACAAGCCCTCCAGATGCTTCTAATATAAGCTAAATTGAGAACCACTGTGCCTATAGTTGAGCCTCCTAACCCATCCCTGCCCTCTAACCCTGGCCTAGGGCTGGACACATGGAGGTGCTCACTTAGGAGCCCCTAATCAAGGCCCCAGGTGGGCCCATTTTTGGAAGATAAGGGGGGTGGTCAAGTGCCCCCACCTGTACGCTTCTGCATCTTCTTCTTATTCTTTAGGGCAGATGCCAGAGCCTGGCCCTGCTGAAGGGGGTCCGTCTCCATGATCCTCTGCAGCATTGGGCGTCGGTCCACTGGGCAGTCGTTCCTGGGATAGCAGTCCACATTGCGCTTAGCCCACCCCATCTGATGACGGTTTGGATTGGTGCAGTACCCAGTGAGTTCCCCAATCTGGTGAGACAGAGGACAGCGGTGAGGTCTGGCCAGAGTACCTCCAAAGTCTTCTGCAGAGAAGGCAGGGACAGGCTTGGGTAAGAACAGAGCCTGGAAGGGCCGGCCGAGTGGCTCAGTTGGTTAAGAGCTCGCTCAAGAGTTTGAGCTCTGAGCAACAGCGGTTCGAGTCCAGCCCAAGCTGAGCAGTCACTGAGCTGCCAACAGGTAGCAGGATGGCTCAGCTAAAAACAAAACAAAAAAAGAACAGAACAGAACAGAGCCTGGAGCCATGCAGAACCAAGCTCCAATCTGGCTCCATCACAGACTAGCAGGTGCTTAGTTAACCTCTCAGCTGCAGTCTGCTCATCTGTTTTAAATGGGGGTGGACAATGGGTAGCTCGCATGGCTTTCACAAGAAGAAAATGAAAAAGTAGAGTGACTTCATCAGTGACAATTAGTATTACAATGATTCTTTACTCTCAAGTGACCCTTCAAATCTTAATAAATTTAACAAATATTTTCTGACACCTACTTTGTGCCCAGGTGTGTGGGGAAATGCTGGAGACATGACTCAGAGGCAGTCCCATCTTCAGGAAGCAACCAAGCTAAAGAGGATACAACCAAGCACGCTACAAGTGAGAGTGCCCACCAGAGAGAGACAGCATAAGTGACAGAGGGTGAGGGGATGGTGGTGGTCAACATACTTCTACTGAAAGGAGGGTCATTCCTGACTGAACACTGGAAAAGCATGGTGCATACCTGGGCACCCAAAAGGGTATCTGTTTGGCTGGAGGGGAAGGTATATGTGGATAGTAAAACTACTGACAGAAAGCTCACTATATGCCAGGTACCGTTCTAAGTATGTGCATGCATACACACACGTATGTACACACATATATGTATATGTATACATGTACACACACAAATATTGACTCATTTAATCCTTCCATAATGCTATGACAAGGCACCTAAGGTCACACAGCTAGTAAGCAATGAAATAAATTAGAACTCAAGCAGTCAAGCTTATGTGTGTATGACTATTTGCTACACCACAGTGGGGGAGAGGCAAGGCTACCACACTGTACAACTCGCAGGCTGCGGGGCAGGGCGCTATTCACAACACAGCATACCTAAATGGTATCTCCCGGAGTTGTGCAATGGAGTGCCCCTGCTCAGGGCCCTGAGCCTTGGTATGGAGCTTACAGTACAGAGTGGGGAACTACTATGGGTCCCTGGGGGGAAATGGTACGTTCTGGGGCTTCAGTGGGAAATATTATCGGGAATGGCCTTAAACACACAGCTTTACACTGATTTTCCTGCAAGCATCAGGGGAACCTTTGAAGCTACCTAAGTGAGGATGGTAATGGCATGATTCCTGCCACTGCCCCAGTGCAGGCCTCATCATCTTTTACAGAGTACAAATGAGAGTTTCCTTCCTGGACTCCCTGCCTCCACCCTGGCCCCTTTCTTTCTAATCTGATTTTTATCCCAGCTGCCAGAGTTTAATAGTTCTAATATACAAACCTGACCATGTTGCTTCCCTGCTTAAGCAACCTTTCCAGATATTATGTAGCCATCAAAAATAAAGGACAGCTCTTTAAATGATCAAGTGCAACCACCTAGAAGATGAATTTGTAAGTGAAATAAGCAAAGTGCAGAACAATATGAATAACATGGTACTATTTGAATTAAAATAGATCTCTGTGTCTGTTTGTATGTATGTATGTGTGTATAAAGATGGAATAGCTCTGAAAGGATATTCAAGTCTGCTAATAGTGACTGCCTCCAAGGAGGGGACAGGGTGGCTGGGAGACAGAAGCAGGAGAGAGACTTACTTTTCACTGCATACCCTTTAGTACTTTTAATTTTTTTATACCATGTACATGTATTACCTAGTCAAAAAATAAATACATACATACACACACACACGCACATATATTTTAAATAAACAAAATGGGGAAAAAAAAAACCTTTGACCCATAAAACCACCACCAACTTTCAGGATTTTCCTATTACCTATGGTATAACGTCAAACTCAAGGCCTTCTGTGATCTGACTCTACAGTCATCTTTCCCCACCTCTACCCCACTCCAGCCAGCCCACCCCACTAGCGATTTCCCCAAACACCCCGGTCTCACCATTTTGGGCCTTGGCATGAGCACAAGCTCAGTCCCCGCCCACAGGCTGCTGCTCCCCCCTTGCCCAGATAATTCCTCAGCCTTGAAGAGGTGACACAAGCATCAAAGCCTCCAAGAAGACTTCCCTGACCCACAAGTAGTATATATAGGTTAGGGCCCTTAGATCCATGCTCTCCCAACCTCTGCCCGCTCCCCAGCCTGTGTGTCTCCCATCACAGTGAAGACGTCTGCGTCTGAAACCCACTCAAGTGTGACCTCCTGAAGGGCAGCGGTGGGGGGACTGGCAGAAGAAGAGACTGGAGAAGCCTCCAGGAGTCATAACACAGCATACTGACTTGATCCTATAGGTGCTGGGAGCCATGAATGGGGAGGTGACATGGTCAGATGGGGCCATTAGAAAACCATGGGACATGTGTCCAGGTGAGGGAGGACTGAAAGCTTAGACTAGGGTTACTGGAATGGTAGGGATAGAAAGAAGATGACAGCGTCTCAAGAGATTTAGGGGGAGAAGCTACGGGACTTAGTGAGTGTGTATGGGATACCAGATACTAGTTGGAGGGAAAGAAGAACCAGGGGTACCCAGGTCTGCAACTTGAACAACCGGGTGGCTAGATGGGCATACCTGTTCTCTGGGCTGGAGCCAGGCTGGGAAGGCTGCATGAGAAAGCATGCCTGCTCCTTACACCTGCCATTGCTTGGCGAAGGATACACCCTCCCAGGTACCCAGGGAGCCCACAGGGAACAAGTGAATAACCCACATGTCCCCACCATTATAGGCAGATCTCATGGGAGCCAGGCAGAGGGACTGATCAGTTCCCAGAGCCCTGGATGGAGACGACTGCCATGAAGAAACGGGACAGGTACCTTATACACGGTGGTTTTATTTTCCATAGCATCTGCTATTTTCACCATCGGAGAATGGAGCCACTTGATATCCATTTCGAGCGGGTCCATGTCACCCAACAGCTCATCAGATTCTCCTGTGGCCAAGCCTTTAACACAACCAAGACTTTAACACAACCAAGACTTTAACACAACCAAGACTTTAACACAACCAAGACCACTGTCAGGGGCCTGGTTCCTCCCTCCTGCCAGCCCCCTAGTCAGGCCTCAGTGAAAAGGATATGTGGACACTGCCCAGGGGAGTTGGTGGGGAAGACTCTTTAATTCCTGCTGGGAAGCCACATGACAAAGGATTCAAAGCGTAGGTTTTGCAGTAGGGCACTTGCCTACTGGGAACTAGTCTTAGAGCCTCAGCTTCCTTATCTGGAAAATGAGAATGCCACAAGCCCAATGACATAGGGCTGCTGTGAGTCACAGCAGAGGATTGCCTGCAATGCACTGGCCTGAGACACTGCTGTTAATGACAGCCACTGCAATGCCCTCCACAGGACCAGGCCTCTCTTCCCCTCCCTCTGGCCCCTTGGCTACAGCTGGCCTCCAATGCAAACCGCAAATGTGCCCATTGCCCTGGGCCCACACCACCCTCACCCCTGCTTCTAAACTTTGCCTCATCCCTTTCCTGGGCCCCTCTAATCCTTATTCACTTTTCAAGACCAACACTAGGGCCAACTCCTCTGTGGAACTTTCACAAGTAACCTCTACCTCTTCTCAATTTCCCAGTCCTCCATCTTTTGCCTAAGTGCATTCTCAGTGTGGAGTTCCTCTTGCCCTCACAGGCAGCCAGTCATTATCTGGGTCAAGCATCATCCTAAGAATGGGAGTGGGAATTCCTCCCAACTGTCTACTTGATAGAAGAGGAAAGGAAAGTTCAGAAAGGGGGCTCGCTTGCCCAAAGCCACCTGGGTAATAAACTCTAAAGCAAGAAAGTCCTCTTGTCCTCATTTGTAATCCAAGGACACCAACAGGCCCAGAGAAGGAAAGTTACTAGTGCTCAAGAGAAACACAGAAACTATTGGGTTGTCGGGAAAGTCATGACATATTTTATCTATGTTTTTCAAAGGTCATTTATTTATATAAAGAACAAAGGTCAATTATATTTTGGCCATTTTGTTGAATAACCTTTTGCCATCTTTCAGTGAGCTTCATAATTCCTTGTTCATAGAAGGACCTGCCTTTATTTGCGAAAAACTGAACAAGGTGCTGATTTACAGCCTCATCTGAATTGAATGTTATACCACACAAGGAGTTTTGAAGAGAGCAAAACAAATGGAAGTCTGATGGCGCAAGGTCAGACGAGGATGGTGGGTGTGACAACACATCTCATCCAAGCTCCCATCATTTTTGCCGGGTGATCTAACTTGTGTGTGATCTCGCGTTGTCGCGATGGAACACAACTCCTTTACAATTAAGGAGCTCTGGACATTTCTGGATGATGGATTCATTCAAACTGTCCAATTGCCGACAGTACACATTTGAATTGATTGTTTGGTTCCTTGGTAGAAGCTCGAAAAACACGACGCCTTTAAAATCCCACCACACTCAGAGCATAACCTTATTCTGATGAATGTCTGCTTTCGATGTTGTTTGAGGCGAATCATCACATTGGGACCAAGACCATTTGTGCACCACATTGTGGTAAACAATCCACTTATCATCACCAGTTATCAGTCGCTTCAAAAAAGGATCGTTTTCCTCATGTTTAATGAGCGTATTGAAGATGTTTATATGCACCATCAAATGAACTTCTTTGAGTTCATGCGGAACCCAAATATCAAGCTTGCTTATGTATCCCAGCTTCTTCAGGTGGTTGTGAACGCTTGAATGATGGATGTTCAATGTTTCTGCAATCTCTTGTGTCATGTAACGTGGGTTTGACTCAATCAATACCTTTATTTTGTCATCATCAACCTCGGTGGGCCTCCCTGACCGAGGAGCATCATTGAGATCAAAATCACCAGCACGTGATTTCAGGAACCATCGTTGGCGCTGATGTTCTTGTAAAGCATTGTCACCGTAAACTTTATGCAGCTTTTCACAAGCTTGATGCGTATTCTTCCCTTTATGGAAGTAAAACAGTAAAATATGGCGAAAATGCACAGTTTGGTCTTCCATCTTCAATTTGTTGTAAAATATCCAAAACTCAACCAAATCGCTCAATTTTTTTAAAAATGAAGCTAGAACTGTCAGCTGTCAAATGACATAGCAATAACATAGATGTGAATGACACTAGCACTTCCAAAAATGAATCAGTGCCATCTGTCACAAACGTGTGTCATGACTTTTCTGACAACCCAATAGAAGGTCGGCCAGCCAGGGCTTTCTCCACTACACCACAGTGTCCACAGACAGGCCCAGAGTGCACCAGGTACCTTTCTTGGGTGGGGTAGAGAAGGAAGGAGAAGCCATAAGCCAGGGCTGCAGAAGGTATTATGTGAAGAGAACAAACTTCCTTCTGGAGTTTCTGAAAGCCATGTGGCTCAGTAAGAGTTAATATTTAACAAGCAAGTACTAGATATAGTCCAGGCACGTTTCTAAGTGTTTTTACATATTAAATAATGGTTGGGTGCTACTGTCCTCGTTTTACAAATGACGTCATTGAGACACAAGGAAGGTAAGTAGCTCACGGATGATCACACAGCTAACAGAAACAAAACTTGAATTTGAATCTAGGCAATCCATTCTTTTAATTGCTTAGCTACTCTGAGCTGGGAGCATCTTCAACAACAGGGCAGCAGAGATGTTTTGAATAACACCTCTCCCTGCCACTGACTATGTGCCATTGAGCAAGTATCACCTTTCTGTGACTCAGATGCCTCGCCCACCAATGGAGGTGAGAATGAAAATCTAGGAATGGACATGCAGTGGCTGAGGCAAAGCCTAGGGCAACACGAGAGAAGTGTCTCAGTCCATTCCAGGTCCCAAGGGACGGGGAAAGGAAGCTCACATTTCCTGAGCACCTCACTGCACACTACCAAAGCCTGAGCAGGGCCAGGGCAGGGGGAGGTTAAACATGAGATTTGTTGTCAGGTCCGTGTGGCTCCACCAGGGAAAGACCAAGTGTCGTGCAGACCAGTCCACACACTCTCACTTACATTCTATGGTGTCTTCATTGGCCTGCTCAGTATCCTCAATGTCGAAGACCTCAGTCATCTCCTTAACGATCTCGGCACTGAGATGGGCAGGCAGAGTGTGGGTGGCAGGTGGGAGTGTGTAGAAGCTGATCTTCCCACTGCATTGTGAGGTGGGAGGAAATTGGTGACGTCATTAAGAGAACAAATGACCAATCAAAGAGAGAATGAGTTCCCAAGTCAAAAACAGTGAGGGACAACAAGCAAACCCACATGGTGGCTTCTGAGTAAGAGGCTGATTGCTAGATAATCACTGGCCATAAATCCCTGAGCAGGAGGTGGCCTGCAGCCTTGGCCTTCCCCTGCCCTGCCATTGCAATGAACACAGATCAGCCGCTTTGTGGAGCCTCACTCCTACCTCTAGCCTCTCCTCACCTCACCCAGTCAGCCAGGACTGCTTTAGCCGCATCCTCCTGATTGTATATGCCTCCCTTCTTCTTCTTCCCCAAGCGCTGGGCCACAGCAGTCAGAAAGTGCTCAGTGGTCTGGAATCCAGAGATGCCGTAATAGTTGGAAATCTGAGGAAGAGAGGAAGAAATGTGGAGGAAGAACGAAGGGCCCTTAGAGTAGGGTAGGGCATGAACAAAAGCCCTACGCACCTCCTCCAGGTTGCAGCGTTGCAAGATGGTCTCCACCGGGGTCACAGGGTCTGCCAGCTTCTGCACATGGACACAGTTGCGCAAGATGGTGCTGACCTCCGAGTTGGGTCCTGGGACAATGCCTGGTGCATCCAGCAGCCTGATGAACTTGTCCAGGTAGACCTCCTGCATGAACCTGGGCAAGAGGAGATGGAGGACGCAGGACACTGATGAGCCCGGATGTGTCTGGCATCCTCTAAGCCTCAGGCACACAGTTGGGAGAAGGGGTGAGGGGTGGATGGCATACAAATGAAGGTGGCGAGACGTGGGGCCAGGGGTTCTGGGGCCCTACAGACCTGGAACTGATTCTAGTCTGGCCTCCGCCATTGGGAGACTGAGCTGCAGAACCATGGGACAGCTTCTGACTCTCTGAGCCTCAGTGGCTTCACCTAGGAAGTGGAGCTGCTTATTCATAGCCCAGTCTTGCATGGCTGTTTGGAGGTTTCAAGGAGCTAAAGGGGGGTGGGAGGGGAGTACCCAGCTGGGCACCTGGCCCACACCTAAGGTGTGACAGGTAAATGCGAACTGTTAAATGAGATTCCCATGCCCAGGGAAGAATCAGAGGTTAGTTTAAGATAAGAAAAGGGGCAGGAGCTGAAGACGTGAGGTGAGAGTTGGGGAAATGGTAGAGTCAATGGAAGTGGGGGAGCAGGCAGGTGCTTACTTGGTGACCCCAGGAACGGCTCCCACACTGCACGCACGGCTGCGCTTCAGGCTATTGATCAGGCTGCTCTTCCCAACATTGGGAAGGCCTATAAAGGAGCAGCAAATGGCTCAGGGCAGGAAGGGCCCTCAGAAACATTTAGGCCAGCGTGTGTGGGAGGCCCAGGCAGGGGCAGCGACCAGGCCATGGGGAACCCAGATCAGAACCTGGCCTCTTGCCTTCCCACCCCAGGCCCTGATCAAGCCCCTACATGGCCTTTTCCTCCTCCCCTCCATTTGTGACCACAGTGGATAGGTGTGTTCCACTCTCTAATTGTGATACAGTAAGTCCCCAACTTACGAACGAGTTGTGTTCTGGGAGAATGTTGGCAAGTCGGATTCATTCATAAGTCTGACAAAGTGAGTCTTATACACCTTTGACACAAATATACAATGTAAAGCATAAAAAAACTAAACACACACACAAAATGTGCCAATGGTTGAATGATTCATGTTATAAGACTGAGCGACATCTACCATCTTTTCGCCTCGGTCCAATCTCTCAATTATTTTCATTTTTCTTTCCATGGTTATTGCTTTGCGCTTCCTAGCAGTCCCCTCTGCATCACCACTGCTTTTCCTCTTGCTTCCGGACATCCTGGGCTCTGATTGAGCACTGTACTACTGTACGCTATCGCACTGTACAGCAAGCACACAGCAGCACAGCTGCGACAATGTCCGGCAGACACGTGAGCTACTTCCACGATTTGTTTGCATCTACAAATGTTCGTAATGTGAGGTCCGTTCGTATCTGTGAAAGTTCGCAACTTGAATGTTCCTAAGTTGGGGACTTACTGTACTCACCTCCCACCAGCCTGCGAAAGATGCTCAATGCAAGGCCTCTGTGACATGATCCAACAGAGGGTGGACAGAGGGAAGTGTTTGTGAAACAGAACCATCTGTCCTGGTGTGTAATTCACTGGGGTGAAGCGGAAAACTCATCTCCAGATGTCTGGCTCTCTGAGCAGCTGTCTGCCTGTGGTTTCTGTTTGGGCATCTGTGAGCACCTCTCTGCCTTTGTATGTCTTTGTTTCTCCCTCCCTGGGTCTCTCATTCTCACCATTCTCCTTCCCTGTGTCCTAGAATTTACGTATCTACTGCTCTCTCACAGATGTGCCTGTGTGTGCATGGAAGTCTCTCTCTCTCTCTCTCTCGTTCTCATTCTAAATATTACTGCTTTTTCTATTTTTGTCTTTCTCTCCTATTCAATCTTTTTCGCTACCCTATCTTTCTTTTTCCATATTATCTCTGTATCTAAGCATCTCTTTCTCTGCCGGTTTGTCTGTTTCTCATTCTGGCCATTGTCCTTTCTCCTTTTCTCCCCACCCCAACAATGCTGCCTCTCTTTGTAATTCCCTGTCAACTCTGCTCATTCTTTCTGTACACATTCCTTCTCTCAGGGGTCTCCCTTCATGTATGCCCCATCCGTATGTGTTTCACTGTGTCTCTTTTTCTCTCTCCCTGTCTGTGTCTCGCTAACCCCCTCCCTTCCTCCCTTTTCTCTCTCCCCCTCTCTCTATGTGTATATCTCTCATCATAGATGTGTATTTGTCTCTCTCTGTGACTCTACGTGCATGGCTGTGTCTGAGGGCCTAGTGTATCTGGGGGACACGTTGTGTCTCTGGGTCTATTTGCTTGAAGGAGGTGGAGTTGGGGTGAGTGTGTGGGAAGGGCTTGGTCTGCATGTGTTTTGCCCCGGGTCTGTCTGTCACTAGACTTACCTCCTCTAGGTCTCTACACGTCTCCACATATGTGGATCTGCACATGTGTTTGTAGATCTGTATGTGTGCATTCCTCTGTGTCTCCATCTTTGTTTCTGCCTGTTTATGCATGTTATCTCTCTGAATCTGTCTCTCTGGTTCCTGTGTTTTTCTCTTTATATTTTGGGTATATCTGCCTCTCTACATACATGGGGTGACTCTAGCCCTCTTATGTCTCACTCGGGATGTCTCTGTGCACATGTCTGTCTCCATGTCCCTTTGGATTTCTTTCTGAAATCTCCATCTCTCAGCATGCCTCTGTCATTTCAATCTGTCTCTCCTTCCACTGCCCACCAACCCCAACCTTTGGCTTCCCAGTTCATTTTCTGTGTCTGTGCAGGTATGTGTATCTATATATTTTTCTCAGTGTCCAGCTCTCCAATATCTTTCTCTCTTGGTTTCACTTTCTCTCCTCTGCCTATCTCCATTCCCTGTACCCATCCCATCATCCTTCCCTTGGTGTCCTGGGATCCAGACAGGCCCAAGTTTGAGCCTCAGCTCTGCCTTATCTCACACAGGGCTGAGCCCCTCAAGACCCTTTCCCTTTTCTGGGCTTCAGTGTTCTTATCTGTAAAGGGGAGATGTTCACCACTAATTCCCATGGCTCTGGCAGGATGAGATGGTACCAAATCCAAGTTTAGCCCCGTGCATTTGGTCCACGGTTCTAACACTCAATGCATGGTGGTGATTCTGAGTATGCCTTCTCACATCCACCAATCCAAATTACAAATCACAAAACCCTTCCTGAACTGCTCCTCTCTTCCCCCCAAATAGGTAACACAAAGTTCCTAGGATCATTTCCCCCAATGAAGCCTCTGCTCAAGGAAGAGCCTGTGCCCCGTGACGTGCCCCCAAGTGCCTTACCCACAACACCCACACGGATATGGGTGCGCACTTCACCGAGGCGGCAGTAGTTCCCCAGAACCCTCATGAGATTTTCAGCTCCAAAGCAGGCTTTACTTTTCAGCAGTGACTCAGAGGCCTGCTGTACTGGCACACTGCAACGGTTCTAGAAAATGAGGGGTATTACAGAACAGGCATCAGGCGGGAGATGTAGTCTGAGCCCAGATTTCCAACTTTGAGAGCAACTTTCAGGGCCTGTCTATGGCCACCAAGAATCCCAGCCCAAAGCGAAAGGCTTCTCACACAGGACCCGAATGCTTGCCATTTTCCTGCTCCCCTCAGAGACTCACAAGGCCTGTTTTTCCACTGCCTTTGCATCTCCAGTCTTCTCTGTCCCTGCCTCCGCCTAGACACATGTCTCTTGCCTCCTTCAGCACGGGCAGGATGGCAATCTGGCCTCTAGACAAGCCAGATTGGAGTTCCAGCTCTTCCTATCACAGGCGTGTGCAAACACTGCTTCTCTTCTCTGGGCCTTGGTGCCCTCTCCTGCACAACAGGGACGCCTGCCCTCCCTACCTGCAAAGGGAAGAGACAGTGCCTGGCCCACACACAGCCTACCTTCCCCTGATTCCTCACATAGGACAAGGCATTCCAGCCTCCTTCTCTACGCCTGATGCCACCTCCTCTGCCGAGATGCCCTTCCATCTCTCTTTCCTTATTTACCCACCTCAGCATTGCAAAATAGAAATTAACCTAAATATGCATCACCAAGAAACAGATTAATGAGATATATCCTTAAAGTGGAATACAAATGAAAGAAAGCTGTTAGCAAAAAAAGATGCTAACCACATTTTTGCCATCAAAAAGGCCATAAAAATTTAAATGAGATATCTTGTGTCTTCCAGATTAACAAAGATTAAAACGTTTAATAATATCGAATGTCAGCAAGAGTAGAGGTAAATAGGCCCTCTCACACCTTCATCTACCCCACTGGTGGGAAGATAAATTATACAACCACTTTGAGGGAGGTGCAATTTGTCAGTGTTGCGCCCCCCCCAAATATATAAAATATAAACTGCATAAAGCCCATGACCCAGCCACTCCATTTCTCAATACCTAACCTACACAAACACTTGCCCATGGGCCAAGAAGACACGTGCAAGGGTCTGTGTTGAAGTACTGGTTGTAACAATAAAAAAGTTGGAAACTAATTTTATTTGGCATCAAAAAAGTAGACTGCTACAGAAAGATCTCCAAGCGGGGGGGGGGGAGGGCGGAGAGCAAGTCACAGGATGACACATATGATTCTCCCAGACACTATTTTCTCTTTATATAGACATCCATGTCTAAAGTACAAAAAAACAACTGGAAGAATACACAACAAACTGACAATGGTGTTTACCTCTGGGTATATATGGATAACAGAGACTGGAATTAGGGGTACTGATGAAAGGGTGTGTAAGCTTTATCTAAAAATGTTTTTTTCTTCTACTTTATTTTTTAATAAATAAGTTGTAGACCTGGTACAAAATTGACAAAATGTTCTCCAGCACCCCGTTTCTCTCCCTAGAAGCAGCCAATGTTTCTGTATACTTTAATATTTTACAGTGAAAATGTATTTCTGTGTTAATGATAATTAGAAAGCAGTGTGACATTTTAAAGAGAAAAACGAATGAAGGCATGTATTTTTAAAAATCAACAAACAGTTAAGTATATTTTCCAAATTTTCTATAGACAGTATGTACTACCCTTACATCTGGAAAAAGTACTTTCTAAAGAACAATAATATGGGCAGAAATGAAATGAAACTAATATTAATGTCATCCAGTAAAGCAAAAGGCTCAAAGCTGAAGGCCCAGTTCAATTACCAAAAAGCTGGAGTCCCTAGTCCAAATCATGATCCCTCAACCCTGGCCCCAGGCTACCCTGAATCTAGATGCCCCTGGCCCCAGCTTACCAGGTTTTTGACCTGATGCTGCGTGCTGGCCTTGAAAGCCACAGTCGGCAGCTCATTCTGAAGGTAATCCAGCCACTTCTCTACAACCTCTTTGGGGACGAGGTCTGGAGAAAACAGGAAGAGATAGGACTGGTAAGGAGAACATTATCTCTATGGCTCACTCCAAAGATGCATCTACCCACACTCAAGGCTAGTCCCACTCCCCCAACAGATATCTCCCTGGCCCTGCCAATCCATGTCCAGTTTCCAGGTAAGCGTTAGGAAGGACAGTCTAGTCTAGGGGACCACTTGGCCCTCCCTGAGGGGACCTCTATTCTCTCAGGGAGAATGGGCACACTAGCTCTTTGGTCCCAGATGCCTTACTTCGAAGACAGGGTGCCTGAGGCCTCCCAACGGCTGTGTTTCCCATCCCCTCTCTGGATCATTCTAGTTTGAACCAAATGTCAAGAATAACTTAGACAAGAAAGTGAAATACTGACCACACATATACCAAGCACTTAATTATTAATTCTCACAACAACCCTGTTGTTGGGACAGTCACAGCCCATTTTATAGCTTGAGAAATGGAAGCTCTCAGGTGATATGACTTGTCCAAGATTCCAGAGAAAATAGCATAACTGGGATGAGACTCAGACCTAAATGACTCCTGAGCCCATATGCACTTTGGCCCTAATCTTTAGGTTCCAGCTTGGAGAAGACAGAAACTCTACAGGGTTGGCCAATAAGGCTCAAAATGACAAGAACAGGGGAAAGGCAAACAGGCTTGGACTCTATTCCCAACTTCTAATACACTCTATGTGTGTCTTTAGACAAATGACTTCACCTCTCAGATTCTTGGCTTTAAAAACTGGAACAAGAATTCCTACCTTGAGGGCCATTAGAGTGGCTCAGTTGGTTAAGAGCTTGCTCAAGAATGTGAGCTCTGAGCAACAGGGCCGCTGGTTTGATTCCCACATGGGCCAGTGAGCTGCGCCTGAGCTGAGCTGCCCCTGAGCTGCCAACAGGTGGCAGGATGGCTCAGCTGGTGTAACAACAAGATTGCCTGTTCGAGATGGTGGGCTACACCCGCCCGCAACTAAAGACTGAACTCAGAACCTTGAGCTGAGCTGCCGCCCAGATGGCTCAGTGGATAGAGCATGCGCTCTTAACAACGAGGCTGCTGGTTCAACTCCCACATGGGATGGTGGCTACACCCACTCACAACTAATTGAACACAGAACCTTGAGCTGAGCGGCACAACTGGACTTGGAGCTGAGCTTGCTGTGCTCTCCACAACTAAGATTGAAGGACAACAAATTGGCTGTTCCCCTCCCCCAATTCCCCAATTAAAAAAAAAAAGAATTCCTACCTTAAACAACTGTTAGGAATACCACTGAGTTGCTGGGTCTCGGGGTCTGGCCCGAGCTAGTCTTTCAAGAAGGCCTGGCCCCCACCCTGCCTTACCCAATCCTGCCCAACACCCACCAATCTTGTTCAAGACCAAGACCAGCTTCTTGTTGCCTTCTGCCTGCAGGACAGCCTCCTCCATTTGGAAGCAGCGACAGCCCAACGGGTCCCTGGCATCCAGGACTTCAAGAATCACATCAGAGTATTCCACCACCTACAGGGCAAAGGTCGGGGGAATGAAGGCAAGGGAAGTATTGGGTAGCAATCACACAGGGCCATGAAAGAAAAGGTTTTCATCTCAGTCAGGCAAAACAGAAATAAAAAGCAGATGGGACTAGATTGGTGGCCTCCCTAAAGAGCCTTAAGAAATGGGTCCCCAGGGGCAGCCGGTTAGCTCAGCTGGAGAGAGCATGGTGCTCATAACACCAGCTTGCCGGTTTGATCTCCATATGAGCCACTGGGTTGTGCCCTCCACAACTAGATTGAAAACAACTACTCGACTTGACTTGGGGTCAGGGAGGCCGCTTAGCTCAGTTGTTTAGAGTGCGGTGCTCATAACACCAAGGTTGCCAGTTCGATCCCCACATGGGCCACTGAGTTGCACCCTCCACAACTAGATTGGAACAATTACTTGACTTGGAGCTGATGGGTCCTGGGAAAACATACTGTTCCCCAATTAAAAAAAAATTTTAATGCTCTTACATTTAAAAAACAAACAAACAATGGGCCCCCATACTTTACGGAACTCCTTGTAATAAGCCTTCCTTGTGGCCTCATCATCCAGCTGAGGAAACATATTTAATTCCTGCAAAACTTCCTCCTAAGGGAAAAAAGAAGAGAATGGTCCAGGGGAGGAAACAGAGTGAAAGCCAGGCTTTGGAAACCATGGGAGGTTGGGAAAGCCATGTGAGTCCCAGCCCACCGAAGAGTAGCTCTGACCAGCCAACAAAGCTGGAAACTGGAAAAAGAACAGAAAGACCCAAATGGTGCATGTGTGTGCATATGTAAGTGTGTGTTCCAGCCCAGATAGAGGCCTGAGTGTGCACATGGGTGAGTGAGGGATGAATGAGAGAGGAAGGTGTAAATGAGAAAAACAATCTATAGGAGACATGGGTTAGAGAAGGCAAAATATGTACTTTAGGTTAGAAAAGGGACTATGAGTTGGAAAGTGCACATTCTGTGAGAAGAGACTATATGCCAGAAAGGCAGTAAGAAGCTCTAGAACAGCGGTTCTCAACCTTCCTAATGCCGCGACCCCTTAATACAGTTCCTCATGTTGTGGTGACCCCCAACCGTACAATTATTTTCATTGCTACTCTATAACTGTAATTTTGCTACTGTTATGAATCGTAATGTAAATATCTTTTTGTTTTCCGATGGTCTTAGGCGACCCCTGTGAAAGGGTTGTTCGACCCCCAAAGGGGTCGCGACCCACAGGTTGAGAACCGATGCCCTAGAAGGAAAAGGACATCCCCCTCACATATACTCCTCTCAACCCTCCCCTCATACTCTCACTCCCTCTCTCTCCATCCCCTAGTCCTGAGTCTCCCCACCCCCACTCCCAACCCCCGGTCTTTGGGTTCCAGCCAGGGAGAAAGGACCTAACCAGGGTTGTCCAGTCACAGATAAGGCTCAAAATGGTCCTTTACCTCCCTCTCATCCCCTGTCCCCACTGTTTCCCATCCTCTCTGCATTGATTCCCTATTTCCCTCCCAATAATCTCACACCTTTTGTCTTTCCCTTTCATAGAGAAGATGCTTTTGAATAAATCCACACCAGACCTACCCAGGGGCAAAGGCTGCTCTCTTACCTTGCGCTCAAACTCCTCCTGGCGTTGCTGGACATCCTGACAGTAGCTCTCGATGGTCCTGTGTCTTTGTCTCTCTTGCTCCCGGGCAGCCTGCTGCTTCTCCCTCATCTCCTCAACCTAACAAGTAAACACACACTGGAACTGTAGCTGACTATGTCTGCAGCCTAAAGGAAGGATGGGTGACCGAGAGTAATAGGATGTAAGTGACAGAGGGAAGAAAGAGTATGACACAGCAAAGGTGGGAAAAGCAGGGATACAGGGAGAAAGCGGATATGACAGCAGGAGGCAAGGGGTTTGAGAAAAAGAAAATGACAGAGAGATGTGGGCAGGGAAAACAGGGCAGAGAACAATAAAAAAACAGGGCATGAGAAGCTGAGAGAGAATGTGTTCCAGGCAGAAGGAATCCCTTAACACGAGAGGGGAAAGAGCACATGGTGGTGGGATGGCCCGTCACTTAAAGAGCAGGAAGAGAGACTGGGAAATAGGAAGGACATCCAGAAGAGTGAGATAACAAGCAAGTCAAAGTCAGAGTGCTTCAAGGACAACATGGTCTCAAATTCAGAAAATTTGGATCAGATGAAGGACGAAAACTATCCATGAGTCTGATGTCAGAGAATATACTTGTGAGGCTGGCAGGGGCCATTTCAGTGAAACAGTGGGAACAGAAGCCAAACAGCAATGGGCTGGCAGGTGAGCAAATGGAGACACTAAATCAAGTATCAAAGCAACCCCTCTCCCTTCTCCCCTTCCACAAACAGCCTCAACAACCCTAACCATTTGGACTTCGCCCTTCCATTTACCACTTCTACGGACCTGTCAGTCAAGCCAGGCCCTCTCTTTCCCCCAAGGTAAAAGGGCTTACCCTCTTCTTCTTTAATTCAGCCTCCCGGTTGGCATGTTCATTGGAGTGAACAAACTGGGGAGCAAAGGCCACCTTGGAGGCTGCTTTCTTCCCATTCTGCTTTGCAAGGTGGTCACCACACAAGAGAAAAACCAAGGTTAATGAATCCATGGAAATCCTGGAGGATTAAGGCTGCTCAAAAGTGCAGTTATCGGGAAGGGGGGGGGAGGGAAGACAGGAGTAAGCAAAACACAAAGGGCTCTGCCCCAGAGGTATGCCCATCTGGCTACAGAGAGACCCTCCTTCCCCTAGCCAGGCAGGGACTGACTGATGAACCCCAGGAAATGGGTGTGGGGGAGCGGGGGTAAACTGGGAAGGTTCCCCAAGTAAAGGCCAAGTAAAAAGCTAAGTAGTTCTCAATGTGTGGTCCTTGGACCAGCAGCAGCACCTGGGAACTTGATAGAAATAGCAATTCTTGGATGCCACGATAGACCCAGTGAATCAGAAACTTGGGAGTGGGGCCCAGACTCTATGGTTTAACCCGCCTCCAGGTAATTCTGGAGGTCTGGTTGAAGTGTGAGAACTTTAACCATGCTAAAATTTGAGAACCACAGCTCTGGCCCAAGCCTTACTTGCCCATACCTTTCGAAGCAGGACCAGGAGCTGAGGCCAAATATTATGTTTTAGACTTCCTCCTCTCCATGAGTGATAGGGATTTGGGACTCAGGCAGACTCAAGTCCCAGCTGTGCTACTTTGAACCTGGCAACTTTCTCACTGAGGCTTAGTTTCTTCATCTAAAAATTGGGATGATGACAATCCCTACCAAGGTAAAGCAAGCACAAAGCAGCATATGGCTTGTAGTGTAAACTTAAAAAATGCTGCTGATTCTCTGCTGCAGCCACCCAGAGAGGGAAGGAAAGCCGGATCCACTGAGTCCAATGTGGTACTCTGTCTAGAGTCACCCAGTATCTACTATGTTTTGTGGGCCTCTTCTAGGGCAGGGCACGTGTTCTGACCTTACTCCAACAATGGGCATACCTTACCGGAGGGTGGGGCCAACTTACCTTCTTGCAACCTTTGGAGCTTTTACCTGGCTTATTTTCTACAAAAAAAAAAAAAGCCATCATCCAACTACCCAACATTTGCTGACACCTTAATCAAGGCCAGGCCAAACTGGGAACCTAAGGATGCTTCAGATACTCTGTCTGTCTAAGCCCAGCACAAGACAGACACGGAGATGGCATCAACACTGTTAGAGAACGTACTGGACATAATGTTTGGGGCATTATTTCAATGCAAACGGAAACGATTCTGAAGGGAATCCTGTGACGAGAGTGACCTGAATGTGTGCTTGTGACTCCTCTTTCCCCCAACTTCTGGCAGGAGACAGCTCAACAATTCCGGCACCAGGCTGCGGTGGGGCCTGGCAGCATGGAAAGGTTATTTGAGGAGTCCCAGCTAGCTCAGCCAGGGTAGATGCCCTCAGTACACGGGGAAATAACTGCCCCTTCCTGCTGACCCTGCTCAGGCCATTGCCTTCAAAGGGACTTGCCCTATTCAGCTAAATTGCACCTCCTCCAAGCCCGCCTTAACAAAGCCTAAAAACATAAGAGGTCTCTTTGCCCTCTTCAATGGTAAGTCCCATCTGTCATCCCCTTCACAGCTGGCCTCTTGGGGAAGAATGGCTTCCCTGAATTCTCACCACCTGCAAGGGGGCTAAAGGAATTCCTAGAAGGGGAGATTCTGGGAAGTCAGGGTATATACAAACAAACATAGGAGCAGCTTGAGATTACCAAAACAGGCTCCCAATCACCTCATGTGGTTCACACCAAAGCAGAGTTTATGTAGGAAACAGAGAAATTAAATACTACAGTAGACCCCCCCCTTATCCACGGGAGGTGTGTTTCAAGACCCCTAGTGGATGTCTGAAACCGCGAATAGTACCAAAACCTAAATATACTATGTTTTTGTCCTATATATATGAGTATATACAATACTTTTTCACTTAAAGGAAGCACTTTATGGCTCCTCTTTGGCATATCCAAATTGCCACCATCACTATTCTTGTACTTTGGGGCCATTATTAAGTAAGAGTTCCTTGAACACAAGCACTGTAATACCATGATATCAATCTGATAACCAAGACAGTTACTAAGTGACTCACTGACAGGTAGCATGTACAGAATGGATACACTGGGCGAAGGGATGACTCACATCCCAGGTGGGACAAAGTGGAATGGCATGACATTTCATCATGCTACTCAAAATGGTGTGCGACTTAAAACTTATGAGTTGTTTATTTCTGGAATTTTCCATTTATTATTTTCAGACCACAGATGACCACAGGTAACTGAAACCACAGAAAGTGAAGCAACGGATAAGATGGCGGGGCGGGGGGAGGGGGGACGCGACCACAGGACTGCAAATTCTTAATGCGATTACTCCAAGAAAAAAGAAAAATCTTATAAACCCAAACAAGGAGTTTCCAACAAAGATGAGAGAAGCAGACAGCCTTCTCAAATCTACAACTCTTAAACACTTAAGACAGAAGAACAGCTATTACAAAGTTTTGGGAAAAGGGACTGTGTTCCAAGCTAAATCCCTATACCTGACCAATAAATCACTCTTATGTGAAGTTTAAAAGAAAAGACATTTTCAGATGTGCAAAGATTGCCACCTCTATTCCCTTTCTGGTAAAAACTACTTGAGGGGTACACCAGCAAAAATAAAAACTAAATCAGAATAAAGATCTCAACCTAATGGAAACAAATAATAGTAGACAGAAAATCTATTAAAACTTACCATTGAAATCTAAAAAATTGCTAGTAATGTGACTAAGAACTATGATACATATTAAGAAATTATTTTTAAAATCCAGGAAGCATATCATAGGGAAATAGCTCAGAACTAAAATACCAAATTATTTCAACAAAATCCAGGAATCAAGCAATAACAGTCAGAAAAGCAAAAGCATGAAAGCATGCTACAAGTCTCACTTTGGAAGAGTAGGATAAAAATAATTATTTAACTTTGGTAAAGTGATAGAAAAATTTAAGTTTAATTATGTTTGATGTCAATATAAATGTAATTACCAACATAATTTTAATTACTGTTGGATGATTTTTTTTAAACTTGATCAATTTTATAAAAGCAAATCACAGAACAAGAAGAAACAAACAAAAAATATAAAATACGATGGTAGAAATTAGACCAAACATAGTAGTTATCATAATGAATGTGAATGGGTCAAATTTCCCTGTAACAAAAAAACAGACCTTAATTCTCCTTTTCTTCCAAAGTATTCATGTTGTAATGAAAAAAGAATATGAGGTTTGGAATGAACCAGGTCTGGCCATTTTACTCAACAATTTCCATCTGCCTAACTTCCCTGGAAACTGAGGGCCTGCGCTGGATACAGGCACACAATGAAAGAAAATACATCACATAGATAGGGGGAAAACATCTGCTTCAGAGAGAAGGAGGGAGGGAAGAGGAAAAGGGAAGGGTGCAGTCATCACTCATAGCACTGCAGCACCCAGGAGCCACTGTTCATCTGTTTTAATAGCTTCAGAAAGAAAACAGCTACCATTTTGTAGCCATCCCGACCCAGTCAGTAACTACCTACCTAGGTATATGACATTAATGAATTTTCTTAAATCTCGCTGAGCCTCAATGTCTCCATCCACCAACTCTCACACATCACACTACTCAAAGGCAGATCTCTCCATTCACCCATCATCTCCCATAATCTCACCCCACTACATCCCTGTACACCCAGCCTGGCACTGACTCCACTCCCCATCCTCCCTCTGCCCCTGCTTCAAACTTCCCGCTATGCCCTCCAAAACTCCCACTTGGGAGATCAGCACTCCCCTAATTCTTCCATCTCTCCTTGGGAACAATTCCCCAACCTCTTGCCTTAATGGAGACTCAGCTCTGAGGACACTGCTTCTTCACCTGCAGGCCTCTGGAAAGGTGGCTGTTGTTTTCTCTGGCACATGAATACCTTGGGGCCAGTAGGTAAAGGAGGTGTCCTCTGAACTCACCGTTGCCAAACCAAGACTATTTCTCCCTCTTGTTAATAAAGGAAAAAATGGGGGAGGAGGAAGTCCTGCTCTTTTTGAGACCACTGCTATGCCTATCACCTATGAGTCACTTTTCTACATTTATTGAAGCACCTGGCTCAGAGCTTTATTTCCAACCCAATTCCTGCCATCATCAACCTGGGTACCTAGCAGTCCCTGGGCCCCTTCCCACGCTCAGATTTCCAACGCCCTCGACATCCTCACTCCCAGAGGCCCCACTCCATGGAGCCACCTGCCCACCCACTGGCGTGGTGACACCGATCATCATCTCTAACTGCTTGGACGTCAGAAAGCAGTCTCAGACACCCCTCTCAACTATCTTCAAGCTAATTTGTTCAATCTCCTAAAGACTTCCAAAACACTGAAGCCTCCACTGTTCCTTATTCATCAGCCACCCCCTTCCCTCCCTGTGCAGCTTACATTCACGGTCTGTAATTACAACGGGTTATAATCACTGATGGTTGTAAATCTTTTAAGTATTCAAACACACCCTCCTTCTTATTAACCATTCAAAAATGTACATTTGAAACTGTATTTGAACACTCTTTGTAGGGCTCCTCAATAACTTCCCAGATTTAATCACTATCTTTACTATTTGGGTCCAGGGTATCTCTAGCGGCACCACATAGCACCGCCGCTATCTTCCTCTGCAATCATCCCAGTTAGACTCATCATTACATACCTTAGTTGCAATTTACCAGTGAAAGCCTTTGTTTTGTGTGCACCTGTAAAGTTTTTCTATTCAATTTAATGTTCACCATTTCCCCCACTAATGTATCTATGTATGATTGTTCTTTAATTGGTCATAGAGTTCCAAAATAAAAAGGTGTATTTTGGGCCTGGCCGAGTGGCACGTTGGTTAAGAGCTGGCTTGGGATGCCAGAGGGCCCCGGTTTGGATCCCACATATGAGGGCCAGTGACACTGCCCTCTACAGCTAACATGCTGAACAACAGCTCAACCTGGAGTTGGGCTGCTGTGAGTCGCCGGCGGCGACAGCATAGGCTGCAACCCCTGCAGCAGTGGGTTGTCATGGGCTACCATGTATAGCCAGCATGAGCAGCCAGCAGCCACGGCCATCCAGAAGCCGGCGACTGATCTGCCTCGCCAGGGAAGAGCGCAATGATGGTGCCAACTTGGGCCAGTGAAGCAACGTCCTCCACAACTAGACTGAAGAACAAAAGGACAGCAACTTGTCTGTTCCCCTTCCCCCAATTCCCCAGCGCTGTTCCCATCCCCCAATTCCCCAATTTAAAAAAAAAAAAAAGGTGTTCTTTGAGGGGTCTACTGCCCACACTTGTTCCTCGCCACTATGATCCTCTCACCACAATAAGAAACCGTTTCATTAGTTTATTATGCATCATTCATTTTCTTTATGCAAATGCAAATATATATTATTTTCCCCATTTTCTCCCACAGAAGTAACATACTATGTATGCCTGCCAGCAACTTGCTTTTTTCACTTAACAAATCCTGGAGATCTATTTAATAGTTTGTCCATACAATACAGTCTTCCATATAATCTTCCCATACAATACTTCCTAGTTGTTTTAAAACTGCCAGGGTTCTTTTGTATGCATATATTGTATTTCACCAGCTAATTACTGTCTTTTTCATCACTACCAATAATTTTATCATCATCTGATATTTGATGTTCCTAGAGTATAGTTGATTTTGTTCGTTTTTCTTGTTACTTGAAAAAAATGATTATTTAACATACCAAAGTCTGATTCATGATGTCACTTTTATGATTTATATGAAGTAAATGTATTGAATTTGTTTTTCATCAAGCCCACATACGCAGGGCCACCATTTACATCGAATATGGGGCTACTGAGGTTGCATAATTCCTTTCCAGTCTACCCAGTGTGCCATCCACAGTGCCAGGCACTGTTCCAAGTATCCTACCTATTTTAATGTATTAAATCCTCACAACACTATTTGGTAGATACTATTAGGTAAATACTATTATTACCCCATTTTATACATAAGGAGACTGAAGTGAAGTTACTTGCCCAAGGCCACACAACCAATAAGTGGTAAAGCTAAGATTCAAACTCAGTCTGGCTCCAGGGTCCATTCTCCTAACCACTGGTACAATTTATGGTACCAACTTAATGGCACAACTTAAAAAGAAAACCGTTAGGGCACGTTAGGATTCCAGGCAGTGTGATATGGTATTTACTGCTATTCACCTTGCTGAGCCGCAGCTTCTCACCTATAAAATGGGAATGAGGGATAAGGGGGACATTACCTCACAAGAAAGTTGGGGTAAAAAACACAGTGATCTGGTACATGCTGCGCAATTTTTTAAAGTTGCTGTGAAACACTATAAATATTCATTAAAGTTTAGGATTGGGAGGGAGTGGTAAAAGAAACTCACTGTGTCTAAGTTTCATCATGATGACCAGCTTGAAAGGAGGTAGGTTCAAATCTGCAGACTTTCTTCCTGTCAGAATGGGAGAACCAATTTGAAGACAGAAGCAGGGGGCCACAGTGCCACAAGCCTCCTCTGAGCCCCCAAAAGGCCAACTAAAGTGTTAAAGAACATGATAAAGAAGCCCTAACAATTAGAGGAACTGGGAGAAGGGGCTACAATAAAGCTGGGGACTGGGATGGTTGTGTCTACGCAGGGAAGGCAGTGTCACATTACCCAAAGGGAGGCTAGGTCAAAACCTCTCTTCCTGGGTGGAGTCAGTGCCTCAATGCATCAGATGGGGTCCTTGGTCCTCAATCATCCACCCTCTATATATCCTAGGTAAGGGACTGGCACTGAACCTCTATGCTGAGGGAAGGGGGTATGCAAGGATGATATTTTTCTATAGAAGGTATTAATAGTACCTCTTTTCCAAAGTAGGGGGTTCTGTGTCTCATGTACCCTGAAAGGTGGGGAAAGACAGGTCCCAGGAGTCTACCCTCAAGAAAAGGGACCTCAGAACAAAGTTTTTTTTATCTGTGTGTCTATGTGGACTGAGGTCAATGCAAAATCTTGGAGAAATGGGGGAATAAAATCTGTGCCTGTATGTGTGATTGTGGTCAGTTCCTTGGTGACTGGGAAGGAGATGCCTTCTGTCCCTCTACTCTGGGGGTGCAGAGGAATTGGGGAAACTAGCACAGTGGCCGTGTACATCTCTGCTGCATGGGAGAGAAGGGCAGGTCTGTACATCTCTGAGTTGTGCAGAGGGTGGTCCTGGATCTCTTTACCCTGGGGAGGGATGTGCCTGTCTTTACTACGAGATAACATTAGTGCCACACTAAGAAAGGGGGGATTATGCAGCTTTGCATGAGTGGGGTCTGCACGTTGCCTGCTATGGGCTATATTAGACCCTTCCATGGGAGGAGGGATGGGGACCTGTTTATCTTTTATATGAGTTGAAGTCAGCAGTGCACTAACATCGAAGACACTAGGACCCCTGGCTCTCTGCATGGGTGGGGCACCACAATGCAGCTACAAATTCAATGGCTTGGCCCTTATACTTGGTGGGGAAGGGGTCCTGTGTTTTTGTATGGAGAGAAAGAGATCTGAGCTCCTCTACCTTGGGTAAGTGGAGAGCCCATATGCACATACGGCTACTGCAGGGTGATCAGTGATGTCACTGCTTCTCAACACTGCAGAGAGGGGGCGCTGCACCTATCTGTTCCCTTGTAGTCTCTCCTTTGCTACATTTGATGATTTTAAATCCGTGGGTGGGGAGGGAGGGGGGGGTTGGATGATCCGTGTCTACCGTAAAAGGAGAACAAATCTAAGCCCCTCTACCCTGGGAGCCCCACAAGAGGAAGATTTGACAGTCTCTTCGTGGGTAAAGGTCTACTACAATTTGCTGCGGGGCATTTTTAGGATCAGGCTTTTACAAACTCAATAAACCAGCACGTCCTTAAAGGGGTCGGGGTCGGGTCTGATTTTCCACAATGGGTACTCACTCTAGCCAGAGGGGGAAATCTGCACGGTTCTCCGTGGGCTGAGGCTTGTGCCTCCAACCACTTCGGGAGGGGTGACCTACCATCCCTGCAGGGGCGGAGCTTCCGTCAATTAGTTACACTGCGGCGAGGCAGGGAGAGAAGGATGGTTCCCTCCCTCTGTATATTAAGTTTCTGAGCTCCTCTATACCGATGGTGGGGCGGGGGGGGGGAAGCAGGCGGTAATATATCAAAGCCTCTGTCCTAAGGGAAGAGATGCATCAAGGCGGTTGTGTGTGCTTTAGCGCCGGTAGAGGTCTGCGCCGGTCAGTCTGGTGGGGAGGTGGCTAGGTCTCTCTACGGGTGGAGTCGACGCCTGTCTACACCGGGAGAGTGCGGAATGGAGCCTCATTTTCCTGAAGGGAGGAGGGCATTCGACGCTTCTCCACACAGCGGAGTCTATGACTCTACACAGTGTGGATGGAGTCTACACCTGTCTAAATGGAGTGGGACCGTGCCCCACTACCCATGCATTTGGGCGCATGTCCATGTGCCCTGCCCTTCATCTGGGCCCTTTACCCTGGAAGGCAGCCGGCTCTTGACTTCTCTATTCCAATGTGAAGGGCGCTTCTGGTTTCTCCTCAAATAGACGACCCTTACCGCGCGGCCAGCTGGGAAAAAGCTCACCATGAAAAAAGAGAGTCGTCTCTTACCTCCACTTCCGGCGTGAATCTAAGAGGAGAGGATAGCACGACAACACGCTTGGCCTAGAGACTGCGCTCGCGCTGCTAGGCTCCGATTTCCGTATCCCAGTCTCGGGGCGCCGGCTCCGCCTGCCATGCACGCCCGGGGGGGCGGGGCTTCGGATTGACGGCTGGTGCCCGCCCGTCCCTTCCCAGCGGCCGCGCTGGCCCCGCCTCCCGGCTGCCCCGTAAGGTAATGAAGTCGAGAGAGAGGAGGAGGGAGGTGGGGACCGGGGAGAGTAAAGTGGGAGAGGAAAGCGGCGGGTTGACTGGCGTGGCCATATAACCTACTGGAAGCCAAGATCTTCTCCGCGGTCCTCTGTCTGGGCCTAAATATGCATGTTCCCGAACCTTAGTGACCAGGCGGTCACCATGACCGCATCAGACAAGGGTGGGGGTCGATGTCTTTTGTCTACAATGGAAGATGGCGACGGGCAGGGTGCGGGAAAATGGCTGCTTGGGTCACATGTCTTGCCGAGTATTTCCCCACCTGAAGTGACTCGGTTAGCTGTTCCCAACAACCTTCCCAGCTTGTAGGGCCCCAGACAAACCCATAGGCAGCCACTCCCAGCTCTTTCTGCAGAAGCTAAAATCCACGGCCAGGGCCAGGAGCCGCACAACTGGAAGCCTCTCCCACCGGTTTGCCTTATTCCCCTCCTCCCTCCTTCCCTCATGCCCCATAGCGGTGTCTGCAGAAGGGAAAGAATTTATATCTCGAGTGGAGGCAAGTAAGGGCTTCTTCAGAAACCCTCTCCAGTAGCTCCTGACCTGGCTGGAGAATGAGGTCTCCCCCTAAAAATAGTAAATATTAGTCTGAAAAATGTCTTCTTCATGACAATTGAATTCCAGCTCCTCTTCCTGTAGCCTAAACTTGCGGGTAGGGCGGAGCTCCTCCACCCTGAGGGTATCTAAGTTTCTCCACCTCTAGCATATCCGCATATCCAGGTATAAAATGACAACCTCTGCCTAGTTCTACCCTTTACATAAGTAGGACTCTCTGCCCTTATATTCATGGAAGGTTTCTAATCTCTTACCCTAGAGCAGCGGTTCTCAACCTTCCTAATGCTGCGACCCCTTAATACAGTTCCTCATGTTGTGGTGACCCCCAACCATAAAATTATTTTCGTTGCTACTCTATAACTGTAATTTTGCTAC